GTGTGTGTGTGTGTGTGTGTGTGTGTGTGTGTGTGTGTGTGTGTGTGTGTGTGTGTGTGTGAGAGAGAGAGAGAGAGAGAGAGAGAGATATACAGGCACCTCATTTTACACACTACTCTGTATGAATTTAATTGTTATTTACGCATTTGTGTGTGTGCATTTGTTAAATAATATGAAATAATTAAATCTTTGGAGAAAATTTAGAAGCTGTTTGGGATTGGGGATCTATTAGGATAATACATATTTGCTGTAGAAAACTAAAGAAACCAAAGAATATTTGTTGATTCTTTAATACAACTATATTTTACAAGATGACAGGTATGTATGAAATCTAGCCAGTAACACATTTTAAAGTTAATTAAAATCCAGGGGTGAATTATCAAAAGCACCAGGAGTAGTTATTTCAGTTTCAAAATATTTTTAATGATTTTGTAGTCTCAGTTTTTTCATCTTTTTAGATTTCTCACAGAAACACTCAATTATGTTAAATAATTTGAATGTATGATATTGGAAAAATGGAAAATTAAAAAAAAATCCAAGCATCTGAGGGATCATTAATAACCATTTTACCCAGCTTTTTAAATACCGACTGAAAGCTTACATCAAATGTGCAATAACTTAACATCATGTATCCTAGAGGTGAAAGTTAATGTTATTACATAATAACGTTTTAAAAATAACTAATTCAGGAAAATGAAAGTTTCATGTGAAATTATGACCAAAAATTCTGCATAACAGGATAAAGTATATAATGTATATGCATATATATTTTACAAATAACTGTTTACAAAATATTACTTTGCATGTCAATATGAAAGTACTGCTGCTCTACAACATGTACCAAGAAATCACACTTTACAGAAAGGTGTGAGAAATGGCATTTGTATTTGCATCATATTCAAATAGAAAGAATGAAAGAAAAAAATAAGCAAGAATAACAAACTCAAAATTTAGTAATATGTCAGTGTGTGAAGAAACTAATACAATTAAAGCCAAAAAATGTCTTACCTGTGAACAAAGCAGCATAACAAGTTCAACCACAGAAGTACTCGACTTCATACACACAAGGCCTGCAATAAACAAACAATCAAAAGTGAATTAAAAAGGTTACATATATCAAGCTGTCAAAACTCCGTGGTTTTATACATTCTATAAAACTGAATTTATTTCCTTAAAACCAATGCAACATGTATTTTCAAGCATTCAAATTTACTGAAACAAGTTTGAAGTGAAAACGGCCTTAAGAACTTTTGAGTCAGATATACATAAATGTACAGAAAGCAGCACACAATTGTTTGGAATCATCATTGTAATCTGTAGGTTAGAGTTTTGTATTTAATCATATTTTATATTTAAAATAATTTTTTTGAGGGTTAGCGCATTACAGTGACTAGTAGAAAGCAATCTTACCCAAGAAAACTTCATATAGAAATACATTGTGAATATACCACAACAATCTTTGGAGGCCTGAACCTACATAGACTTATGTATATGAATACCTTTAGTCACATACTCTCGTCTTTGCAGGATCAGACCCTTGTTTAGTAACTAGTTAGATTTTCTTTTGGAAACTTCCCCTTCATGTAGTTGAAAATATAAAATATTTAGTTAAGGAAAATACGATTGCCATAATAGCTGTCATTTGTTTAATGTGCTTCTGAAATAATACAATTAACTACAGGCTTCCACTAAAACGTCTTAATATAATTAAATATTACTTTGTTTTCCCCAAAATATGGGTTGAAGATGTAAAGGAGAAATACATTTCCTTAGTTACAGTGTCAGTAAAAATAAAATCAGCACTTAGAATGAAGAATGAATTTTGTCATCTGTAATTCTTAGATCATTTATAAATTAAAGCAACATGAGCATAGTTAAATATACAGAACTTTATACTTAACTCTGAATAATTATTACAATATAATGTGTTCATATTTATTTGCAGCTTCAGAACTGTAGATTTTCTTTTGGAGAGAATCAGTGTCACATTTTGCATGTAAAAGATACATTTTAAATAGTGGATTGGCCATTTGAAATACAATAGGTATTGGAGGAGAAAGGCAAATTTATTTTGTTAATTTTAAAAATGGTAGTTTCAAATTTTAAAATTAAATAGGATATACATTCATTTTAATGGTTTGGGACATAGACACGCTTCCTAGGATGCTGAATAAAAATGTCAAATATAGAAAAAGTTTCTTCATAGCACTAGTTATACTAAATGGAAAGCTGAAAAGCAAATGGATTTGTTTTAAGTAGGTTTCAACAAACAGCCCTTAGAGACAAAAGTACTCCTACACAATAGCATGTATATTTATTGCAGGTAGTGGATAAATACTCTTTTGTGCCCGCTTTGCTAACAACCCCATCCTTATTGTATTGTAAGACAGAACAAGCTGTAAGAAGCCACTAGTATTCCATTTTATCAGTTCTATGAGCAGACAGTTAACTAATGAAATAAGATGTAGATGTGAAAAGCTCATTTAGGGAGACAATTGCTGTAATTGATCAGCTATTCTTATGCTCAAGTGCTAGAGGATCAAAAAGATTAATGGGACACTTTTCACCTGCAGGCTACTTCAACTATGTGAAACCTGACAAAGAAAAACTAGAGGATGACCAAACTATACAGCTAAATCAACACAATTAGCATGGATATTCTGAATATTTCAAGACAGAATATACTATTTGCACCTATATAAATCCACTTAGGTTCACAGGAATTCAAAATTCTATTTCTGCCACATATACATATTTCCTTTCAAAATTAAAATATTTGTCTTATAGTGTGTGATTTAGGCAAAATAAATTATAAAAAAGAATTCTTCCTAAAGTAATTTTCTCAAAAATTACTTCTTGAACTATTAATTGTCCTTTAAAAAGAGAACAAATGTCATCACATACAAATGAGTAGAATAAAGACAAGATACCTACATCAGATAAGTAATTAGGTCTTCTGCAGTAATTCCTCTGTATACCTTTGATACATTTTCAAAAATAAACAGAGTGAACTATTTGGAAAATATTTTGTACACAGAACAAATATGCCCATTTGTTTCATTACATTAGAAATGTCTGAAGTCCAAAGGCATTTTATAGTACACCTCTCCCCCAATATAACGCTGTCCTCAGGAGCCAAAAAAATCTTACTGCGTTATAGGTGAAACCGCGTTATATCGAACTTGCTTTGATCCGCCGGAGTGCACAGCCCCGCCTCCCTGAGCACCGCTTTACCGCGTTATATCAGAATTCGTGTTATATCGGGTCGCGTTATATTGGGGTAGAGGTGTAGTTAAGTCACATGCAGAGCTCTCACTGACATGGACAAAGTTTGGTGTGTGGAACAAAAGTAGAACAAGACTCCATCTGACAGAAAGTCAAAATTATTATTCATTATTTCTATTATGCTAGTAATTGGGTATCAGGATGCTTTTGTATTAGGCAGTGTGCACACAATACAATACCTGCCTAACTTACAATCCATATCAATGCAAATGTAGCTATTTATAATATAAAAAGTTACCATAATTTAATCAAACTTTGAAAAATCTTCCTTGTATTATTATTGGCTTAGTGAAGCGAGGCCCCACACTCTACTTCATAGCATTTATCGGTTTGTCTGGATGTAATATGATAACTTTGGAACACTCTGTCTGATCAATTCCAAAATTTCAGGTAGAACCCTACTGATTTGGGTGAAAAACAGAAAAAAACAGATTGGGGAACTGAAGGACCCAAAGCCCCTGACATCTGGTTAGCACACCAATCAGGACTGTAATTGTCTATAGATCAAAGGCAGTTGATGACAGCTATTAAACACCTTTCATCATAACACTGCCCCCACCCATCTCATCCCACTATATTTTAAAAAGTTGACACCCTGAATGACTTATCTCCCGGACAGAAAAAAGGAAGTTATTTAACAAATTACAAATTGTAAATATTTAACCATTTACACATGAAAACAGGTGAGGAGGGAAGGCAGTTCACAGGAAGCCTGTGTCTGGGTGTGTGTGTGTGTGTTCAGGGAGTGGAGGTATGCAAGGAGCCTCTGCCTACTGAATAGGAAGGCTAATGGTCTGGTTTTAACATAAGAATATAAGAGCGGCCATACTGGGTCAGACCAAAGGTCCATCTAGCCCAGTATCCTGTCTTCTGACAGTGGCCACAGCCAGGGGCCCCAGGGGGAATGAACGGAACAGTTAATCATCAAGGGATTCATTCCTTGTTGTGCTTCCTTAGGGGCGCCTTTCCATTCCTTCCTTAGGAAGAGACAGGTATTAGTAATTTTGAACTGGACAGTCCTCTTATCGGGTGGTTTCTTCCATCTGGTTCTGAAACAAAACTGTACGTGGATTTCTCCCATATTGGACAGAGGAATCCCACTTTGAAGAGCGTACAGTTCCACCCCTCTCCCATCCCCCCGGTGTGACCCTGCACACACCATGAATGCAAGGGTCACGCCGGCAGGGGCAGGGCAGCACACTCTTCAAAATGGCACCTCTCTGTCCAGCATAACCTCGCATGCGCAGTCACATCAGCAGGGGTGGGCCATGCTGACAGAAGTGGGCCCACATTATTCCCAGAATAGCAGAATGTCTGGTGTTCCAGGAATGTTTAAGTGGCCACACTACAAAGCAATGAAGTGTGCAACCCTCTAGACATGGATGGGCTAACACAGGAGCAGTAATAAAGGAAAAGTGAGGGAGATGCACAGAGCTTCTAGCATATAGCAGAGGGGGAACTCGTGAGGCACACAGAGACCCTGCCATGGGGGCAGGGAGGACACACAGCACTTGGCATATGGCAGAAGAGAGAATGGGAGGTACAGAGAGTCACTGGCATGGAGAATAGGAAACCCTCATATGGAAGGAACAGGAGAATTGGGGACATACAGGGCCCCTGGCATGAGGGAGGGGGGAGTGGATTTGCAGGGAGTCACTGAAATAGAAGGGAAAGGGAGGCAGGCACACAGGGAGCTTGTGAAGGGGAACTGAAGGATGCAAGGAGCCAGTAGTGTGTATAATGAGTTTGGCCTACTGAAGCAATCAAGCGTGCAACCCCTTCTAGCTATGATAGTACTCAGAGGCCCAGGCTGAGATCGTGGCCCCATTGTGCTAGGCACTGTACAAACACACAGGTAACAGACATTTTCTCCCCTAAAGGGCTCACAGTCTAAATAGCCAGGCAAAAGGTGGGAGAAAGGAAATTGTATCCCCATTTTACAGATAAGAAAGTAAGGCACAAAGTGGTGGAGTCACTTCCCCAAAGGTCACTCTGTGCCACAGATAGGAACAGAATCTATGTCTCCTTAGTCCCAATCTTGTGCTTGAATTGCTAGTTTACCCTTCTTTAAATGAAATAAGCATCATTCCATAGGCAATGCATGGGGGGGCATGCGGAGTCAAGTGCCCCCCAAGATTGCTGCTTGGCTTGCTGTGGAGTAGGGAAAGAGGGGTTCTGTCCTTCTCCTGCTGTGTCAACCCCCTGGTACACTCAGCCCCTGTCCCCAGCAGCCAGGCCTGGGCAAGGAGTGGAAGGAGCAGGACCAGCCACTTCTCACGCCCGCCACTCAGGGTCACTGCTCTGTGCAGTGCAGCAGCTGCATGAGAGAGTCTGGCTGGGCAGGTGGCGTCTTCCGCTCCCCGCTCAGGCCGGAGTCCCCTCTTCCCCCACCCAGCATGTTTCTGTCTCACTTGGCCCCTGTCCCACCACTGCCTCCTCAGCTAGGCTCTGTCTCAGGCAGTCGCCATGTTGCACAGAGCAGTGACCTGGAGTGGCCAGTTTCAGCTGCATAAGAAGTGGATCTGTCCCACTCCCTGCCCAGCCTGGCCGCCAGGGAGAGCAGCCAAACATGCTGGGGGGCAGGCACAGTGAGAGAAAGACAAGCCCCCTTTCCACCCCCGCAGGTAACAGGGTGGGGAGAGCCTGTTGGCCCCCAGGCTGGGTGCAGGGTCGCTGGGAAGAGGAGACATGTGGGGCGATCACGCGTCCTCCCCATTCGATTGTGCCCCACCCCCCCAGTCTGGGGAGGCACAAGTCATCTATGCATCATTCTTATTTCAAAGTG